TAGTCATGGTCCTATCTTGGACTGTGTTGGACCTCTACTGGTTGGATCTAATTGGTATGTTTACGTAACTGATAGTTAGTTTTACAAGTGCTTTTACTTGTCTGTTTTATTTCTGCAGGGACACTTTGGGTTTGCGAAAGTATGACTACGACGAGTGTTTCACTACTGAACTGGCTTTATCGGTCTCTGGTTTGTTGTCAACTTTGGAAGCTGGCAATATTGTGAAAGTTAAGGGCTTTGATGGTCATCGTATTGTTGTTTTGCGTTCTGTTTCTGGGATATGGACTGTGGGTTTCAACGGGCGCATGTTCAGCGAGCTTCAAGATGTGAGCCCTGCAATTGGAGTATTTTCTTGCTAAGGGATGCATTTTTCGATGATTGATACGAGGGAAGACTTAGTTTTGCAAGAATTGTAATGAGTTAAAAAATTTTGTTTCGATCGGTTGAATTATTTGCGTTTCTCGTCATTACGGAGTCATTGATCGGTTGAATGAGTTGTCTGTTGAAGGAAATTTTTTTTTTTTAGGTGTCATTATAACTTTGTTATTGCTTAGAGAATTGAATGGGTAATTTTCGTGATCTACGAGGTATTCTGCGTTGGTTCAAAGGAATAATGAAGAGGTTCATGTTGAATGAATATTTCGATTGGTTCGGTTGTGTTTTCGTTAAACTGTATTATTGCCGAGATTTGCGCTGATTTGATGGAATGAATTCGTTTACGGCATATTTTGTTTTTCAATGTTTAGTGCCAGTCGAACTAGATTTATTTTCACGTTTTGTTGATTAGTTTGCTGTGGTACTTCCATTTCTAGGGGAACAAGGTTATTAATTGATTGGTTTTTTAGAATGATTTTTTCAATGTTTCCATCTTGGCTGCGAACAGTGGTGAGTATGTCTACCGATCTTACCTGTCCGTCTCTTTTGCTTGGATTTAAATTAATGATTTTGCATAGACGCCATTTTAATTTATCTAGTGGATTATTCTTTTTGAATTTTTGATTTATTAGTAGTACTATGTGTCCTTCTTTTGGTTTTAGTGTTGATTCTTTATTGTTGTATGGAAATTTTCTAAGTGATTTGATATACGAGTTTTGGAATGCACACCACAGTTTTTCGACTATTTTCATGCGATATAGCGTTTTTTGTGTTAGTTGTCCTTTCTCATCTTTCTC